GGGGAGGGAGGTGAGGTGAGGGAGGGGAGGGGGGGAGGTGAGGGAGGTGAGGGTGAGGGAGGGAGGGGAGGTGGGATTGAGGAGGAGCGAAGTGGATGGAGGTCTGGCTCTCTGTCATCTCCACATAAACTGGCCATGCCCCCCCTCCTCCTCACTCTGCAGCAGCAAACAAAGAGGAAGATGGAAAAGTCATTGTGCACGTTGGTTGCAGTGATTCTTCTGGGTGGATTTTTAGACGCAGCGCTGACAGACGATACAACAACTGAGATGAATTCATTATTTAACAACACAACTACAGCTGAGTCTGTCTCTGTGCAGCCGCACGATCGCGTCACAGACCGACCGACTCCAACAGCAGCAAGGACAAAGTTATCCAAAGAGAAACAGCTGGACACCAAAAACATCAGCCAAGACAGTGAAGAAGAAAACAAGAATGAAGAAGAAGAAGAAGAAGAAGAAGACAGCAAGACAGAAGATAAGGGAACACAACGCGGTAGGACGAAACATTTACTTGGTTTGACTTTTTTCATGAAGCTTTGAGTAGCTAACGATACTTCAAGCTGATTAAAACCAATTATTAAGATTTTAAATGAGTGAAATAAATATGACTTTACATGATTTTGTTACATTAATGCTGCAGAATAACAACGAGTTTCTTTTCAAACTATTTCCATTATTCCATTATGTTCTTGATTAAAGGATTGATAGTTTGGTTTATAGAAGATCTCTATTGATCACCTAATCAGCTGTTTGTTTCAGCTGTATGGGGCATGCTGCATAATTACCTACATTGGATTATTGTAGATAAAATATTTATTATTTTATCTACAATAATTATTATATTAGTCAGAAATAGTGGGACATGGGACATGTCTACAGGTTGTTCGTAAACAACACATTGTATTCAGTTTTCTATCACAAAAGACGAAGAAAATCAGCAAATATTCACGTGTAAGAAAGTGGAGCGAGTGAGTGCAGATCGACTAACAGCTCCACATGTTAAAGGGATTTGTCACAATCAGAACCGTTTATTTGCCAAAGTCTGTTGCACATACAAGGAATCTGACATATTGTTCTAATGTAAACCTCCTTAAACCAGACGTCTTCATTCTGCTCCTCCTGCTTGGGTTTTAAAGATGTGGCAGTGAAAGCATCCCTTGACCTAAAGAGAACACACGTTAAAGAGAACTGTTTGATCCTGCCAGTACTCGTAGTGTTACTGCTCCTTCCCAAAGACATGAAACACGCTGCAGCTGTAGCTGCGCTGGACATTTGACTTTCCTCTCAAGCCTCAACTTCGTCTCAAATTACAATCAAACCCTCCACGGATTCGCTTATCTGCAGTTTCCTCTGCAGAGGGCCTCCAAGCTTCCACTGAACTGACCCGGGATGATGAGAGATATTCCACATAACAGCCTCTGATTACATCAGACATGTGTTTGCTTACCATGAGGGAGAGTTCAGTCCCAGAGCTGTTTCTTTATAGCAGACACAAACCCACAGGGGACCTGATCTCCCTCTCCTTCCAGACTGCCCCCCTATCGGCCTGGAGTCCCTGCGCGTCGATGACAGCCAGATCCAGGCTTCTTCCTACCAGCGGACGGGTCTGGGTCCTCACAGAGGGAGGCTGAATATCCAGGTGGGTCTAGATCTGGATCAAGCACAAGTACAGTGAGCTGCTTCTTATGGAAGTGTAAAGACATAGAATAACAGGAACTCATATAGTGTGTGTTTCCAGAAGTAGAAATATCACTTCACTTGATTAAACTGAAGCTCTGGAGGGACTTTGTCTTTTAAAGAGATCCTGCTGAGGTTTATAAGATGATCAGAAATAAACATTAGGTATGAATACCATGATAACAGGGTTGCAACTAATTATTATTTTCATTAACTGACACGTACTTTATCGATTAATTGTGTCCAAAAGATTATTAGAAAATAGTGTAAAGTTCCCTAAGCCCAAAATGACATCTTCAAAGTCCTAGTTTTGGCCAAAGAACATTTCAAAATCCCAAAATATTCAATTTATCATCATGTAAGACACAAGAAAAGAAGCAAATCTTGCATTTTTGCTTGAACAAGACTGAGTCTGGAGCCACACTAGCAGCTCTGTGAGGCTGAACTAAGATACATGCTAACACTTGCTAATTGCTACTGAACACAAAGTACAGCAGCGGCTGATGGGAATGAAAATCGTTTTGTATTTGGTCAAAACAAATGAAACTTTTGAGCTGATGATGGCATTAGATGATCACTAAATGTATTAAAAATCATCCTCTGGGGACCATGAATATCTGTACAAACTGTCATAACAATCCATCCGAGATGAGTCTGGACCGAAACAACAGATTTACACGTTTCAGAGCCTTCAGCTCTGTTATGAATGAGTGCTTCGTTGTTCATATTGTGAATCATGCAGATGTACAAATTAACACACACAATATGATGTCCCTACTCCTTCACTGTAGTTCACATATTTTCTGCTGCATGTTTCTTAAACTATAAGATAAAGTAGCCCCCCCCCCCCTTGCTGGCATGTAAGATGAATAAAAGCTCCAGTGATTGGATCTGAAGTAGGAGAAAGTGCTCTTGTTAAGTTTCTTGGAAATTAAATAATCTGTCAGATACAGAGCCAGCAGTCCTGTTCCACACCCGACCCCCCTCTCTTGTTCTGCAGTCTGAAAGCAATTATCTTAAAATCAGGGTCAACACCGAAGTCTTATGCAACGCTACACACCGAGGCGGAGGCAAGCCTGCAATAGGTTCTGCAGTTGACAAAAACAACAACTTCTGTGTACCATGTGTTTTCAGTCTGGCATCGAGGATGGAGACCTCTACGACGGAGCCTGGTGTGCAAAGTATAAGGACCGGCACCAGTGGCTAGAGGTGGACGCCATCCACCTCACCCTGTTCACTGGAGTCATCATGCAGGGCCGCAACTCCATCTGGAGGTCAGGGATCAGGGTTAAAAGGCTTTGTTCCAAGACATGTATTTAAAACTGCTGCTAAAACACACAAAAGACTGTTTGACAAGTCAGAGCACAATGTTAACACACATCTCTTGGTCTTTGTTACAGTTGGGACTGGGTCCACACCTACAAAGTCCAGCTGAGCAACGACTCTGTGAGCTGGGAGAGCTGCATGAATGGGACAGAAGAAGCGGTATTAACACAGTGTCTTTGAGTTCTCTAACATAGAGGAATGTATAACGTGACCACGGACCTCTACTGATGGAAAACAGATTTACAAGAGTTTGTGCCAAAGTGAAATATGTACCGTGAACTAAAGCTCAACTGCTCTTACAGAGGAAGAGAGGAAACAAATAGAGTAGAGCAGGAAAGTGAAACTATTGGTTGGCATTATAACAGTATAAATTTATATATATTAGAAATCTCTACAACAAAAGATCTAAATGTTCAAACTAAAACATTGATGAAGGCTGCAGCATGCAGATGGAAACACCTTTAATCCAAACCTGCAACTTGTTTGCAGTTCTTTTGAACATCTGATCTGTTAGCAAGCAGCTGGTGGTTAATACAGATGTTGTTCTCTCTTCTACCGTGAGGTGGTGTTCAGTCCTGCTTGTTGTCTGTTATCTCAAACACCTTTGAACAGATTTCAGTCAGACGTGAGTGAAAGTTATTTCAAGAGTCAACAAACATGTTCAATCTTTTCTGAGCTACTGCACACTAAACTATTGGACAACTTACACTTTAGACCTGGTGATGGAGGATCACCAAAGTCATTAGGATTCATCCTCTGGGGACCACGAATATCGGCACCGAGTCGCACTGCAATCCATTCCGTAGTGTGGACCAACTGCTAAGAATGTCTAATTCTGTTATTCTATATTAAAATAACAACAACGCACATCTGCAGGGGATCCTAAAATGTTCAAACCGATGTGATGCAACATTGAATTGTACAGATATTTGAAGGAAACCAGAATCCAGAGGCCCCGGTGCTCGGACTCCTTCCTGTTCCCACCGTCGCCCGATTCCTCCGCATCAACCCTCAGACCTGGTACTCTAACGGCACCATCTGCCTCAGGGCGGAGATACTCGGCTGTCGAGTCGATGGTAGGTTGCAGCATGAAGCACAGTACGTTTTGTCCCTTTTCTTTAAAGGCGAGGTTGTCTTTCAGGAAGTCAATGTGCTCTTTCTTTCCTCGTAGATCCAACAGACAACTTCTACTCAGAGCGAGAGCCCGGATCAGAAGACGCTCTGGACTTCAGACAGCACAACTACAAGGAGATGAGAAAGGTTGGAGTGTGATGACCGGCTGCAGGGCCACACATGCATGATGAGTAACTTTGGTTTCCCCTAAAGCTGATTCCAAACTTCTTACTCAGACTCTTAACAGTTTGCAGATTTCCTCACAGTTCACATTTAACCGTTTGATGACTTTTAGTCAAACTTCTTAACACCAGAGTTGGAATTTAACCCAAGTACATTTACTCAGGTACACACTTAAGGTACTTCTACTTCTACTTCATTACATTTCAGAGGGAAATGTTGTACTTTTTAATCCACTACATTCAGCAGCTTTAGTTACTTTACAAACAAAACAACTTGGACTGTTGGTTGGACGAAACAAACGTTAATCTATCATTTGGGCTCTGGGTGATTGAACTCTTCCTCCACCACTGTGCTTAACCCCAAAGCTCATGAAGTCTGTGACAGAGGAGTGTCCGGACATCACCCGCATCTACACCATCGGGAAGAGCTACCTGGGCCTCAAACTGTACGTCATGGAGATCTCGGATAACCCCGGCAAACATGAACTAGGTAAGAGTGCTTTGACTCTTCTTCTACGAGTTGAAACCTTAAAAGTCTGAAGGATCTGGACCAGAGTTCATGGTGTTCCTCTCAGGGGCCCAGTTCCACATCCTCCGGTGTTTATTCAGACTTCTTTTCCTGCAGCAGCAGCAACACACAGGGAGGCTTGGGTGTCTTCTAGAGAAGGCCTCTCTCAGATAAACAAACTGATAACCGCTTGAAATCGGAGACGGCTCTCTCTCTCTATGTGATGTTTTCAGATGCAGGAATCTCTACATCTGCCAAAAAGCTTAAATGAGTTCAGTGGAGGGCAGCTTTCTGTCTTTCTTCTCAGGCAACAGATTTCAAAACTGCTTCACATCCAAGAGGAAATAATGGGAATTTGGGTTAAATTATTGACACCAGGCGATTCAGCGGTTTCATGGTTAATGAACTCTGGTGTCCAATCCAGGAGGAAAATTGGCTTTTTCAAATTTTTGTGCTGATTTTGGGTCTTTGGAAGTCTCAGCTTTAAGAATGCCATCAAGTCTGGCCAATCCATGTACGAGTATTGGCAAAGTGCGGTCACACTGTTGCCTAACACAATGCAAACAAGATGTGCTCCTGATGTGGCTCTGGGATTTAACTTTCACCTACTGAATAAAATCGAAATGTCAAATGCTTCATGTTTTGTGTGGTTCAAGCTGATGTTGGGCCCAGATAAATACCTCCACATTCTACTTGCTTGGCAAATAAAACGACTCCTTGAATTTCTCTCTTGGCAGGGGAGCCTGAGTTCCGCTACGTGGCCGGGATGCACGGGAACGAGGCCCTGGGCCGAGAGCTCGTCCTCAACCTCATGCAGTACTTGTGCAGAGAGTACAAGAAGGGCAACCGGCGCATCGTTCGGCTGGTGACCGAGACTCGAATCCACCTCCTGCCCTCCATGAACCCTGACGGATACGAAGCAGCTTATGAGAAGGTGGGCGATGTCAAAGTGACTCTGTGTAGGATTAACACTCATGTTGTCTTGTAGTTGAAGGAGAGAGGGCAGATCTGCTTCCTTTGTCTATTCTGGGTTGGACTGCAGGTTGGGTTTGGTCGATCAGGGATGGTAAAGGGATTGGCATCATTTTTCTGGCATTTCATCAAATTCACAGATTAGCCTGATGGAGACACGCTGACTAATAACACCCAAAACTACAACTAATTTAAGCTCACATGAAACATGCTGTGACAAAAATGGTGGTGTTGACCAGGAAGTTGAAGTCCCCATTTTATAGAGTATGCAAGGAAACTACAGTGATGGAATAGTTGTCTAAATGTCCCTGTTTCTGACCGATCTGCTGCAGGGCTCTGAACTGGCCGGCTGGGCCGACGGACGATACACCTTTGAAGGAATCGACCTGAATCACAACTTCCCAGACCTGAACAACATCATGTGGGATGCCCAAGAGACGGCGGCAGATACATCTAAAGTCCCCAACCACTACATCCCCATGCCAGAGTACTACACTAAAGAAGACGCCATGGTGAGGACATGTGGTGTAGGGGAGAGTAAAACGTCATGAATATGAGTATTTCAATCTGTTGTGGCCAGATATAAAAGCTTAGGGAGAGTCCTGGCCACATCACAAAGCAGCCCTGAGTAGAGTAAAACCACATTAATAATACACTACCGGAAAGAAAAGTTATAATGTGCAACCTTCCCTCATTTCTGACAAAAACATAGAGAATAACGCACTAGAACACCATATAGGACCCACACATGGACACGAGGGGAGGAGGAACTAGAGCCAGAGCTTATATTAACCCATTTAATCAGTTACACATTCAACTATGGGTAATGTAACAGTAAACAATATTGTAACAATCAATGAGGCATTTGAGCATTTAGGAATTTAGTTCGAGCCAAGTGTAGGATGTGAACAATCCACCACTGTGGCGCAATCTACTGGTGGTATGAAGAACGCTGTAAAAGACTAGAATCACCAAAATTCAACTTTCCGGTACAAACCGAGGAAGGACTTTGAAAACAGACATATTATTTCTTTCAAACTTCAGAAGCGGTTTGAAAGAAATACAGTTTACTGCATCAAAGGACCAAATTCTGCTACTTAAAAAGAAAAAGCGTGACATATATTGGTGCATGAATGTAGGTCACACTGAAAAGCTGTTTTTAAGGCTGGTTTAAAGGAAAACAGAGGTTTCACTGGAGGCCTCAAACAGTACACAGTAAAAATATCACCAAATTTCAATATATTCACCTCACGTATTATTTTTTTGTAATTTCTGCTTTGTTTTTTTGTTACTGGTATGGCTTTCATGGGAACACCTTAGCCTACCATCCTACATGTTGAGCTTGTAGATGGTAACACACAGGAGGTAGTTTAGGCAGAGGACTCGGCTGTGACTGAACGTTGACAGGATGAAGAACAGAGCACCGCCTTGAGAAATTTAAATGTAATCAACAGATGCAAATAACTTTCTGCGCCATTTGATTTACAAATGAAGTCTGAGAATTCTAAACCAAAAGCATCACAACAAAGTCCATATAGAACTATATCAGTGTGTCCATCCCTCCCAGGTTGCACCAGTGACGCGTGCTGTCATCAATTGGATGCAGGACATCCCCTTCGTGCTCAGTGCGAACCTCCACGGGGGAGAACTGGTGGTCGTGTACCCCTTCGACTGCACCCGGGACTGGGCCCCTCAGGAGGACACCCCCACGGCGGACAACGCTTTCTTCCGCTGGCTGGCCACCGTCTACGCCTCGACTAACCTGGCGATGTCCAACCCCAACCGCCGCATCTGCCACTACGAGGACTTCCAGTCACACAACAACATCATCAACGGCGGTGCCTGGCACACCGTCCCCGGCAGTGAGTCCCCTGTTTGAATGATGAAAGTCATCATTTTAAAATGGAACTATGTGGGGACCATCCTTACAAAACACAATACTCTTAAATTAAAGTGGTTAAACCCTTAAATCACCATCAGGCAGGTGGGTACAAGGCAAGAAGGGACAGGAACCAAATGCAGACATCTATTCTTACAAGGACAGTGACAGAAGAAAAGTGAAGACACAAAAGCTTACTGGCATGGGTAGCAAGCAAGAAGTCCACAGGGGAACAGGACTGGAGCGAGGTACAGGGGAACAGGACTGGAGCGGGGTACAGGGGAACAGGACTGG